GGAATTTGGGGAGTCAACTTGTTAAACTCCTATGAAACAAGAATGACCTGCAGCTGCAAGATAACTGCAGGCCGTAACATAGATGTATATATATCCAATGCTACACACATGTGTTGCTATTAAGTCAGTGTTAATGAAGTTGTGTAACATAGATGTATATATATCTAATGCTACACACATGTGCTGCTATTAAGTCAGTGTTAATGAAGTTGACAAATCAACATTTCATTAAAGACACAATCCGCGTGATGCAGTGAGTGTTGTGTTGCCTTGCCCACAGCTGTTCTTCAGTTTGCATGTATCAGCAGCATTAAACCCACATTAGACAAACCATGTGCACATCAGAAGCCAAAAGGTGTAAGCAACATCTACCTCTAGACCTTGCGAGCACACACGCGCACCGCGGCATGATTCATTCTGCAAGCAAAATGCATACAGACCGCTACAATGTAGCGTCCGAGCCCCAACGCTTTAACAACGCGGCATCTTACTACCGAAATGCACAACCTGCTCAACAGCCAGCCGCTTCAATCCCGGTGGCAGAGCAGCGTGATAGTAAATAAAAAGCTGGGCTTTATAATAACAGGCTCCGACGTGCTGCTCTGTGCCACTTCAAGTGGTCACTCTATTGTTGAGAAACAATCTGAGCCAAAGTGGAAACAAAACCTTCCCGAGACAAGAGGCTCGCAGCGCGACGCCGGGAACAAGCAACGTTAAGTTTGCAGCTACTCACCGGGTTATTAAGCAAAGAAAGTCCTCGGTAATTTTCGGCTCTTCTCTTTTAAATATCTTCCCCCTCACGGCCACTGAGAAAAGGCTCAACGTCAGTGGCTGAGTAACTGAATAGACTCGGAGAGAGCGCAGTAAGTTGAAGTGTCAAATTACATTGGCTATTCTATTACCAAAGGGACCTATGCTCGGTGGCTGCCGACAAAATGTGTCGCGGATTCTAAGCGGACGCGAAGCCATCGGGAGAATCCGGGAGCGGAGCTGGACTGTCGCTCGGCTCAGCAGCCATCTGGTCCACTGGATCCGCTGGAGTGGCCCGCTCCGACCGTGGTGCCACCCGGGTCCACCGCACCGTGGAGTCCCTGTATCTGTGGATTTTAAATGGCTACACGTTGTTAACAAGTAGTTCCACACATCTCTTTACTGATTAAATAAAGAACAAACAATGTTACTGGCTTTTAAAAACAACCGAATTATATTATTAGGCTATTATAGAAGAAGAAGATAGTAATTGCGACACAAATGTTTAAATTGGACCCCCTTTACCGTAGTGCCTTAAAACAAAGAAATGATAGTAAGCTACTAATAACCTGCAACATGTAAAACAAGCAGGCCTCTAATAACAGATAAAAGAATATCACAAATATAACGCACAGTCAAAGTAAGAGTACATTTTACATTTTTAAAAATGTGCACCAAGTAAAACTGATATTTATATGCACAGCTATTTAAGAAACTACTGGTTATAGTAAATAATAATAAAAATCATTATCATTATTTTTTATTCGAATTAACTAATTACAAAATGCTAATACGGCCTGAATGTTATCTGAACGTAGTAATATAAAATAAACATCTACTATAATTCACATATTAGACTCGTAACAACAAACGCACGCACACAAAGAGCGCGCTGACGCACACACGTGATCCTCCTCGGAGCCGACGCCTCCCTCCGTGTTTTGCAGGCCGCCGCTCTCTGATGGAAAGCTCCGAATAACAAAGACGGCTGAGCTCTGACGTCAAGGAGCCATGGCTGTGCCAGGCAGCATCCAGACTCCAGTCCACACACACAGACCATCTCCTGACACTGAGGCCTGTTTGGAAGCCCCCACCCCACCCACGTCAAAAGTTATAAACACACTGCCCTGACTGATTAACCCTCTAAAGATGGGATGTAATTGAGTCACTGTGAAGCTTTCTCTCTCAGAAGCTCTTATACAAGAAGTCACCCTAAAACTGACACTCTGCTGGTGTGTCTGGAGTCCCCTGAGCCTCTGCTTCCTGGCCTGGGTATCTAGCCCAGCTGTCTAAGTTAAGGGGGGAGGGATGGGCTGGAACAATAGGCGCCATTTGTCCTGCTAAAAGGTGACAGGAAGCATTGATTTCAGCCTGTTCCAGGCTTGTAAGCAACCCCTGAATTGGCTAATGTGAATATCCCTCTAACGGAGATTGGAAAGTTGTAGGTGATTGTGATTCACAGCAGTTGTACAGGGATGCAGGAGCAAAGTTTTGATTCCTGGATGCCAAAGCCCCATCAATTTCATTGAGCTGTTAACTGCAGTAAAGCCCTCTCATGTTCAATAGGTGACTGCTGCAAGGTGCAACATAAAGAGCTTAAATCTGCTGAAAGGCAACCATCACAAAAGGTAGTAGGAAACAAAGAACATATGTCAAAACTAGAGTTAGAGCTAAATGATGAGCAATTCAAAAACCAGCCTAACCAGATAAAGATATTTAAGTTAAAGTGTGCAGCAGTTGAAGTGCACAAAGTAAAACAAATGGGACTTCCCCTCTGAACAATACATAAAATATGGTTCAAGTGGTTTCTAATAAATATAAGGGCAACTTTTCAAGCAAAATCCTGAGTATGAGGTTAAATGTTGAACTGCATTTATAGACTCCAAATAAAAGCCTGATGTAGAAGACTGAGTTGTGTAGCGTGATACTTCAGCTAATTTTAAATGCAGGTAGGCAGCTGGTCAGTGCTCTTACTGCCTGGTAGGAATCCCTAAATTGTTGCCTTTAAATAAGCTTTAAAATAGCTCTCATTCACCAGTTTGTCTCACACTTGGAACAGGTATTCTTGTATGGTGAAACATTTAAGGAACCAAAGTACCATCGCTTTTCTTGGGCTTAGCCATAGCTGTAGCCACACTTCATTAAAATAAGCAGTTGGTGCATGTTTCAGCGTATGAAAAGGTATGAATTAATTACTGACCATTCTCTGAGCTTTTTATAAAATAACTGACCACTATGCTTAAATATGAAGTCTCCACTGTTCCACTGGAATGTATTGAAAGGGACCAACCTGCCAGACCTGTGATCACAGTGTTGTGACACTTCCTCTCTTGAAATGATGTGATGTCTGTGATATACACCAGAGCAGGACAGACACACCAATCCAGATATAGAGGGGAATTTTCCTTATCTGGGTCGAGAAGACTGAGTCAAAAACATTCTGTCAGTGAAATGCTTTAAAAAAGATATGCAAAGTGATGTCTAACATTGCAGCATCAGCACTGCACATTGAGTGCAGGCATCAGATTTACCCAGAATGTTTCAGGAGCGTGCTGGTCCCATGGTTAATACTGTCAGCCCACATGCAGCTTTTCTGAGTGGAGTTTCAGTGTTCCATTCATGTTGACTTTTGTTTATTCAGGTTTTCTTCTCCTGTTGAAACTAATGGATTGGAGACCAGGGAACTTTAAAGCAGTACATACAGCAGATGTGGATTGTACAAAACTGCAGTTTTAAGGCTGAATAATTAATATTTTTATATTAAGAACACTGACACATACACAGTGGACATGGCGTCTCCCCATTCCCCTCCACTATACAAAAGTGAAGCCAAAATATTGTGAATATGGCAGCTTCCATCTTACTTTTTTTGCAAGGAGATTATGCACAGTAGTGTCCAGAGGTGGAGTGACAGCGTTGGACCACCAATTAGAGCTGTCAAATCTACTGAAATGCACAACATTTGATAACATCACATAACTTATTAAAAACAAACCTACCAGAAAAATAACCACTTAGACACACATCAGCATGAAAATATCTACCAAAAACCACAGAAATGACCTCTGGGAAAAATTTTGTTTGAGTTGTACTTTGAGTTTTTAGATGGCTCATGCCCCATCTGCTAACATGGGGGAGGCTGGATTTATGACCTATACTGCAACTGACCACCAGAGGGCGATCACCTTTTGATGGCTTCACTTTTTGGAGCTCTTAGCCTGTCCATTGTTTTTACAGTTGATGATTAGGAATGGAAACAAATTGCTATATGTAATGTAAAGGGGATTACTTTATCACCTGACTGATGCTTCCCTCAGGTCCACTAAGCATTATTTGGTTTTCCGGTCTGCAGCTTCACTGTTTTGGTTCAATCTCACAGCTGTCATCAATCTATTTGCACCTGCAAAAAAGCTTAGGTAGACCTACTGTACACTACCTGACCAACACCAAATGACAAACACAAAGTTAGCAAATAACTAGTAAACACAAATGGCCATTTAGTATCAAAGCACAGTGAAGATCAAAATCAGAGAGAGAGTGAATGCTTGACTTAAATTCACAGAATGGACACAGACATAGCTAGTAAAAGTAAATGAATTCAGTCTGTTGCTGGTTCAAACTTTTTCATTCTGTTGGGTACAAAAGTAAGCAACATCAGTTTTCCACATCTAGTTTCCCCATCATGTTAAATAGGGTGTGTTAAAAATGTGTGAGTTATTTAGATCAACATTTAGTTTAAGAAGCAATTATTCATTCTTATATTTTCTCACTTGTACTTTTTGTCTCTTAACTTTTCAGTTGAAGTGTTGTTCGTCACATGTAGATAAAGTTTCAGAGACTTACAAAACACATTTATGATGGCCAGCTCCCATTGGATTCTTACACAAAACAGTGTGACCTTTGAAAGTTCAGGCAGGGAGCTGTCTGTGTTTTCATGTACAGTTCCCACCTGGTTTATGAATGAACAACCACCAGGCTCCAGAGACCAGCCCGCATCCTCCACAACCCACTAAATACTGGCTGCCTTCCAGTCCACATGTGTTCACACAATACTGACTTTGCTCTGCTGAGGACAGAGAGCTCATGCTGCTCGTGTCTGAAAATATGGAGAGAGATAGTGGTGGAGCCGTACGTTCCCGAGGGTCTACTTACTATGATATTCAAGAGCTGTGTTTGCATATTTTGTTTCACTTTCTTTAACTGAAACATGAACATTTGAGATAAATGTAGAAAAATAGATTCTATGCTTTCATTTTTCCAACCCTCTTAGGTTCATGTGCATCCTTCCCAAAACAAGTGTGCTGTGTTACTTTGAGTCTGTTGTGTTTTGGGATTTTGTGTGAGCTAGTGATAGCACACTGCAGACTGAACACTGGAGTCTGGTCAACAAATAGGATTGCAAAGGATGGAGGGAGTCAGCAGGGCAAAGAGGAGAAGGCAGAGGAGGACAGCACTCTGCAAACTGAAGAGATGACTCCTGCACTCCATTTGACAAAAAGACATGAGGGAAGTGTGTTAAACACCATTGATCCTCATTACAGCAGCAGAGGCAGACAGCGTGAGAAGACACACACACCTAGGCAGGTTATAGTGAAGCCTCCTGATGATTTCTTCCCTTTGTTTTTTTTCCTGCACCTTTTTTTTTAGCAGCACCAGCAGAAAGCTGGCTGCCAGCACACCGTGCTGCTCTGCTTTTAGGGGAACAGAGAGCCAATCAATATGTGCTCACACAGAGGGAAGAGCATTCAAAAAACCGACTGTTCCCTCAGGCCACAGGCAATGAAGAAGTGGGAAAGACAGAGAGAGACAATGCAGAGAGAGCAAAAGGCGAGGGGGTAGACAACATATTTCCTTTGCTACTATATACTGATAGAAATAACATGATCACTGGAACTCTGACATGCAGCAAATATAACTGGGACTGTAGCTCACTGCAATGCACAAATGAAATTATGTTTAAAAATATCACAACAGAGCTTCAATCCATACATTTATTCTTTTCAGGCAAATTTTTTAGTAATTCAGAATTAGAGCTGAAATAATTAGTCAATTAATAGTTAGGTGATCAACATAAAATTAATTGGCACCAACTGATGTCATGATTTCCTGGACATTTCCTGTTTTTGACTTTTATTTTGAAGTCATTTCCAGTGTCATACCACCCTCATCACCAGCCGCAGCTTGACTCTGTCTCTGATTGGCCTCAGTTAGCCTATATACACCTGTTGCTTGCTGTCACTACCTTATATTCACCTCACCTCCCTCAGCCTGTTTCCGGTTCATCTGTTCACATTACCGGGGACACG